TGAGCGGCTGATCTGTGTATACCACAACCGGATGTTCCAAAAAATAAGGCTTCAACCGCTTGACTGCTACGAATAAGGCCAACCCAAATTTTTCGATCATGGGGTACCGGAGCTCAGCATTTTTAAAGACATGGCTGATGAAGTACACCGGCAGCTGAATGCCGTCTCTCTCAGCGAGGAGAACGACACTAAGGGCGTGATCAGAGACGGCTAGGTACATGTACAGAACCTCCCGGGGTAGGGGGCTCACTAGCCTTGGCAAAGAATGCAAGTGCTGCTTAAGCCTCTGGAATGCCGCCTCTGCTTCTTCACCCCATTCAAACCTTGACCTCTTCCTGATTGCCTGGAAGAAATAGAGGCACTTGTCACCTGACCGGCTGAGGAACCTCCCCAATGCCGCCAGACAACCGGTCAACTTCTGGACCTCTTTTACAGTGCGGGGAGACTTCATGTCAATTACCGCCTGTATTTTTTCCGGATTAGCTTCGATGCCTCTTTGGTAAATCAAGAATCCGAGAAACTTCCCAGACTCAACACCAAATACGCATTTCTTTGGGTTAAGCATGACCCGGTGCCGCCTGAGTGTGGTGAAGGTTTCTCGCAGGTCTGCTAGGTGATCCGTCTGTAGCTTGGATTTGACTATCATGTCATCGATATACGCCTCTACATTCCTGCCAATCTGGTTGATAAAAACGGTGTTTATCATGCGCTGGAATGTAGCCGGTGCATTCTTCAACCCAAACGGCATCACCGTATAGCAGAATAACCCCTGATCAGTGACAAAAGCCGTCTTCTCCTGATCTTTCTTCCAGAGGTATTTGATGGAAGCCGGAATAAGCATCCATAAAGCTCATAAACGCATGGCCGGCTGTTGAGTCGACTAGGCTGTCAATCTTTGGAAGCGGGTAGCTATCTTTTGGGCATGCTTTGTTCAGATCTGTGTAATCCACACACATCCGCCAAGTACCGTTCGGCTTCTTTACTAGAACGACATTTGCCACCCAATCCGGGTAGTAGCATTGCCTAATGAACCCAGCATCCAACAGCTTTTTGACCTCAGCCGCTGCCGCTTGAGATCTTTCTCCACCATGATCCCTCTTTTTCTGCCTAACCGGCTGCTTTTTGGGATCTACGGCTAGCTTGTGGACAGCAAGATCCGGGCTGACGCCTGACATCTCTTCCACTTCAAAGGCAAAGATGTCTTTGAATTCCTTCAGCAGCTGGAGCAAGCCTTCTCCCAACCGTTCGAAGGCTACCGTCCCGACCTTGACTGTTCTTTCAGGACGGCTGTCATCTAGGATGACATCAAGGCAGTCACCAGCCGGCTGAGGTCGTTGGTCATCTGACCTTTCCCCGGCTAGTGATTGTTATTTCTCCTTTTTGACGGGTGCCAGTTGGTCCGCCTTTCTTTTCATACCGGCTGCCCTTGGAGCCGGGACTGCTGGGTCGCAGTTATCAATATCTATGGGCTCGCCCTGGCCGGCTGCACCCATAGTTGTCTTGACGTCAGAGAGATAGCACTCTCTTGCCGTCTTCTGGTCCCCGCTTAGGGCACCGACTGTACCATCATCCTTTTGAAATTTGACCAACATGAGGGACGGGATGATGACAGCCTTAGATGCGTTGAGGGTAGGACGGCCAAATATCATGTTGTAGGCGGACAGCTCCTCCACAACTAAAAACTTGACTATCATGTGGCGTCCTTGCCCCTTTTCACCCAGCCAGATCGGAAGATCTATGCTTCCGACCGGATGCACAACTCCACCCCCAAAACCGACTAGTGGGTGAGGAGCCTGGTGCATGTTACCGGATGTGTACTTGAGCTTGGTCAAGCACTGATAACTGATTAGGTCAGACGAGCTCCCGGTGTCTATTAGGATTCGGCCAACCTTCTGGTTGGCAACCTTGCATTCGATGACGATGGGGTCATCATGAGGCCGCCTGACCTTGCCCCGGTCCTTTTCAGAAATAAGGACCTCAGGAAAGATGTCTTTCGACGCCTGGCCCTCATCCACTGAGTTGATCATGATGTTGTCTTTGGTGCCCCGGATGGTAGGACCCCCTCCGGCAAAACCGCCTGCTATTGTGAAGATGGTCTCTTCATCCGTCTCGGAGTTTGCTGGCCGGTTTTTGCCGCCTGCCCTTTCTTGGCCTGGGTATTACCCTTAGCCTTGGGTAGGTAGGATTTTAGGGCCCCCTCATCTGCCAGACGGTCCAATAGCCGCCTGAGGCTATAGCAGCCATCGATGTCGTGGCCGACATCCTCGTGGTATTGGCAATACTTGCTCTTGTCCCGTTTATTCACGGGGCTTTTCATTTCAGCCGGTTTGTCGAGAGACATCCGGTCTTTGATTTCCAGGAGGATGGTGGAGCAATCTTTTGCGAACTCGTATTTGGGAGCATACGATTCTGACTTCCGCCTGATCTTCTGGGCCGGCTGTCCTGATCGGTCAGCTGCCCAAACCCCTTTTCTCTTTTCTTCCTTTCTTGCCGGCTGATGCTGTTGCCGGCTCTCTTTTTTGTCAGACTTTTTATAATCTGACGGCTGCTTGACAGCACAAAGCTCCGTCGCCTGTATATAGGCTTCAGCTTCAATTAACGCCTCTTGGAGGGTAGCAACCCTCTTCCGGACGAGGTCAAACTTAAAGGTCGACCCATCCTTCAGACCTCGAAAGAAGTCTGTATAGGCCACTTCGTCTGATAGTCCTGGAATCTGAATTCTCATCAGATTGAACCGTCTGACGTATGACCGGAGGCCCTCCCGGTCGCCCCTCAGCTGTATTGCCCCTAGGTCGAGGCTAGTCTTTTTGGCAGGAATATTCATTGAGAAATTTGACGTAAACAAGTACGCCAAAGTTCGAAAGCTGTTGATGCAACCGGCTGGTAGGTTACCAAACCACCGCTGGGCTATGCCCTTGAGGGTAGCCGGGAAGCATCGACACCAGACGGCATCATCTAAACCCTGGAGGTACATGAGGTTAGAGTAGGCCATTAGATGGTCTTCTGGGTTGGTGGTGCCGTCATAGGCCCCCACCAAAACATTCTTGATCTTAGGCGGCTGTGCCGCCTGGGTTATCTCTGGTGAGAACGCCGTTGGCTGTTCCCCCAAATTTAGCAGGCGCAGCTGCCAGTCCGTGGGTTGGAACGGCTGCTGCGCTTGCCCACCGAAAAGACCCGGTGACATAAAAGGGGATCCACCCAACCCATTCGGTGTGCCGAATAGGCCAGGCTGGATCACTTTGGGAGAGACCGGGCAGAAGCTTCGCCCGTCTGGCTCCCAAGGTTCGTTCCCGTACGCCTGTGTGAGACGTCATGGAAACTGTCCGGGAAGGTCGACGTTGAGGCCGACGCAGACGCCCGACCTCGCTTCTCTTGGAGAAATGTGCGGGCGTCTGAGAATGTTTTCTTGGAGCCATCCGGCTGTACGTGCCGGATGGCCTTTCGCAGCTCCCCTTGAGGAAAACGGAGTCTGCTTGGATCAAACCTTAAGCCCTCCCCCTCCTTTGGCTTGGGATGAGGGGTAGGAACTCGTTCTTTGACCCTTCTTTGGAGTAGCTGACCGGATGAGGCTCTTGATCTCACCCTTGAAACTATTCATGAAAGACATGAGTTCGTTTCTTGTAACGGGGGCTGAGCCCTCCACCGTTTGGGCAATTCCAGCCGGTTGCCCGGCTGGGTTGCTGGGAGCAGCTTGGCTGATTTCCCGTTCTCTTCTATCTTTAGCACGAGGGTGCTTCGTTCTGAAAGACCCATCCGGGGCCACATATGTTTCAATTTCGTCTCCACTTTCATGGTCCGTCTGGACCTCAGGCTCGACCACAGGCCGTTTGCCCTGATTCGGTGACACAGTATCAGAAGTCATCTTAGAAGTACTCTCCCCACAGACGGCGCCAAATGTTTCGGGGTTTTTTTGATGTGTCCTGCGGGAGAGTTACAATTCCAAGAATGCCCTTCGACGCCTGTGCCTGCAAAATCACGAAGACTCCTGGGGGTAGGAGCTCCGCCTCCGACGATCAAGTTAGTAAAGATACGGGAGGTAGAATGCACATAATGTAGAAGTTACTTCTCGCGTAATGGGAGAATTCTGCAATTAATATTGCTCGGGGTAAGTGTTTTTCTTTTTGAGGAGTATTCAATGTGAACAACAAATGTTCCAGCCTCCCATTAATGAGGGTCCTTCCACTATTTATAGTGGGGAAGGGATGGTTTCCCTTTTAGGGTTTAGAGGACACGTGTCAGCAGAGGATTGGAGCCCTGCTGACCAACGGCTGGATGCCACGTGTCACTAGGCCATTGGGCCACGTGTTTAGGGTATTTTTACCCCAAACATATAGTATCATAAGCTCTGTAGTTACTATGCAAAGTGTATCCTAATGGTTAGAGCACCCTTGTTTATGTAAGCGTGAGTTTGCTATCTTGCTTCCATGCTCATACCAGGAGCTCATATGTGCGAGATTGGTACTGTCTGATGGGATTAGTGTTACTAGATCAAAACATATTATTTTTTGAAGAGAAGGTTTAATGGTTTTATTTCTTTCCTGTGCAGTTTATCTTATGCCTTGCTTGATGATTACGAATTTGCATTATCATGCCAATTTCTAACATATAACTTTACTGAGCTTTCTTTTATATTTTTCTTTCTGTACTTGCTGGCCTGTTTAAATCGGGTTGGATTTAGTTTGTTTTCCTTATTTGTGTATATGTTACTCTTTCTAACCTCATCTATGTCAAATATTCCTCCTAAGTAGCTTGTAGTGAATTTTGGGTTATTCCAAAGAAGAAATGTACATAAAAGAAAAGATGAGAAATAAAGGTAACAAGTGTCTTCCAACTTTTGCTGACAATTCAGTATATGCTTTTTAATTATCTAATATTTTCCCTGTTGGGGCCTATATTTTCAACATGAAGATTACTTTATTAGGAAAATAGGCTTTCTGTTAACTTTTTCCAGGTTCTTTGATTTTCAGCTTTTAATTATTTCGAATTATATTTTGCTTCAGGGCGAATCATTGGTTATGGGATATGATGACATGGGGTAAGTCAATTGCTCTCACAAGTTTCACTAACCATCTACAAGTATATTTAATTTATATACCTAGTCTTATCTTGAGTCTCTTGGGGGAATTTCAGTCGGGAAACGATAGTAAATATAGGGACTCATTTGTTTATACCTTGTTGAAACTGAGTAAATTAAAAGTATAAATCATTTACCCACTTGAATGACATAAGATCAAATATTGGTTCATAAAGCCGACCCCATCTTTGGGATTAAGGTATTAATATTATTATTGTTGCTGTATTTACCCACTCGGACTCTTTTTGTTAGACAAGAATTATAATTCTCCGCTCCCATCCCCTACTAGAGGAAACCCCTTTGTCCAGGGAATTAAAAGAAATTTTAAAAATATATTCACCTACAACCATGGGACCATGCAACCACCATTGACCACCTTCTTCTCCATCGTATTTCCACCCGTTTCCTCTTCTGTACTGGCTACTAGCTCACCCCTTACAAGTTACAACTTGTTTACTTTGCCATATACTGTATTACTAAAGACGCTAAAAAGAGGATTTTATGACCAGTGATGACAGCCAGATTTCTTGGCAGCAATTCTTGATAATGAGTATGGTGGCACAGTTGGAGTCTTAACACATTCACTGATGTATGATTATTCATCTATTGTTTCATCCTTGGAACATTGTTAAATGATTAAACCCCTTGCTATTCCTCCTAAAATGGTGCCCCTTACATGTTTTAGGGTTGGTTCTAGTTATTCTTCTTACCTCCCTTTTGGTAGGCGGTAAATGGCCGTGACAGTGATCATATGCCATCCCCAACTTTTTTCTTCAATTTTTTTCCGTTACCATCCAGTACCACTTTGGAGTTGGTATTGAGTGGTAATGGACATAAATGAAGAAAACTACATGTTTGGGGGGTGGAGTCCCATAATGGGCTTTCCATGTGACTTTAATGAGTTTAATCTCAGAAAACATATAAATTTATTAGTGTTGCCATCATTTATTATCTCCTACTTATGGGCTGTAAAGTTTGATACTTAATTCAATAGATTTCGGTGGCAAAATGCATTCAATCCATGGTTTTTCTTACTCTCTTTTTCGGATGTTAAATTGTCCATCCTTGTTTCTTGTGTTTTCGTATTCAGATATGAGCTCTGGAAACCTTATCTCAGATCCAAGATGGAGGATGATATGAGGGCTGTTAGCTTAGGAACCAAGAGAAAAGCAGAAATTTTGGCTTCATGTTTGCAAGAAATGAAAGCTTGTTTCTTAGATGTAAGTGTCTGTGACCCTCAAATAAACAGCATCTGTATGCTTTTGCACCATTTCATTGAACATTTTGCAATTTATGATGTGTGTTAATATGATTTTTTCTTACGTAAATTATGAATTTTTTGGTGCTTTTTTGAGGGAATTTGCAGGCTAGGGTGAACAAAGTTAAACTCTTTGAAGCCATGGAAATATTTTTTGACAGGTACAACCTGCATACCAAAAAGTTCGTTATACTTTGATTATGTAAAGTAAAGGAACATCTAAATTGCAGTTTATTGTTGAGTGCACTGTGTTTCTTATTTAGTGCTATATCTTAATGTTTACTACTCACTTATTTGTCAATGCAATGTTGATTAAATTGTGGGTTGGTCTATGACAGGTTACACTTTTATTGTCTGATGGAAGGAGTATTCCTCAAGTTGGTGTCCTTGCTTTGATTAAGTTTTTTTTCTTCTTCCCTGTAGAACTAATAGGTCTGGGGCAGAAGAGCAGCAGACAGTTGGTGGTGTTGTTCGCTGCTGTGGTCTTTGCCATCAGGCTGATATGGCACTGAAACGTAAACCGGTGAGAAATAAAAAAAAAAAATTATCTCTTTTTTAGGCATAGTTTGTGTTTAGATTGTACTTATCCCTCTTTTCAGGGTGACTTTTCTTGTGTTTTGCAGTGTTTCACTAAATCATTTTGTGTGGGATTTGACAATTAAAGAAATCATGACAAAAAAAATGCATGCAATTTATTCTATCACATGTATGGAAATGGAATGAATCCGTGAAAGGACGGGCACCGGATTGTGCCACTTACCCTGAACCCTTCATGGTTGCATCGAGCATGCCATATAAATGTAACAGAAGGCAGTGCATTACATTGCCCTTGCAAGCCTTGATTTGACATATTTGTTTTTGTTGTTAGCCAGTTTCGCATTCTGGTGATGCTTAACATATACCCACAACCATCAATTTCCTTATGGGATGATGTCTATGAGTCTGTGATTCTGATATGCTCTGATATGTGCTGCTTACAAGTCACTTGGAGTGCTTTTTCACTATAGAGGCTTTGTCAGCTGCTAATAGGATAAAAGATTGCTGATTTGAAGATGGCAGCTTTTACAGAATAAAATATCAATTTTGTTTATTCACTGTTTTTTCCTTGTATGCAGGATGGAAAATTCATGGTTTCGTGCTTGGGCTTTCCTCTGGTAATTATGTTTTGTATGGTGGTTGGAATCTTGAATATTTCCATTTACTCATTTAATTAGTGAACTTGAAGCCTGGAACTGATCAAAGTAAAAGTGTTCTTTTTTTAGTTGCACGGGAATTGTCTAACTGAGTGGATCTTTGTCATTGTTGCAAATATTCTTGTGATCGTACTTTTTGTCCGGCTCTAGTAATCTATGACTGCAATTTATCTATTCATGGAACTATGGAAGAGCCTTTATGAAATTACCAGTAAGGTTGGGCATTTTGACCTCTGGACTGCACCATATTTGAACGGCTGTCTCTTGTCTTAGATTCATGGTATAATTTGAATTGACTTTGTTTTCTTTGTCTTTAAGGCTTGAGGTTTTGATTATCCACACTCACTACTTCATTAATCTAGGCTTGTAGCTCGTTGGAGTCTGTCAACAAGATGCCATAATTCCCTTCCTGTATACACCCTCTGTCCCTTTATGTTTTTCACACTTTCATTATATGATGTCTCAAGATTAACACTTCTTTTTAGGATATAAAAATCACCTTTAATTTTCTTAAAAAAAAAAAAAAAAAAAAAAAAAAAAAAAAAAAAAACCTTTTGGGCACAAAATTTAATTGATGCCTTTTTTTTTATTTCCTGCTCCGTAAGATTGCCGCAAGCTCCACTAGTCCACTTTACGCTTTTTAATATTTTAACTATCCCATGCTATTCCCGGTCTATATTATCGCCACAATATTTGTGCCAAATCCTACTTTGAAATGTAAAAAGGCTTCTCGGCAGAAGAGGAGTGCCAAATCCTACTGTGAAACATAATAAGGCTTCCACAAAGAGGTGTGCCAGTATCAATTTTATGAGTACCAAAATCTTTTCTCCGAAGGGAATCAATATTCCATGTTCTGTACTAGCTCTTCAAACTTGAACCTTTTATCGTGATCTTTCATGATTTTTTTCTTGTTGCTATACTCATCCATTATGGAGATTTTGTTTCAGGCAAGTACTAATTGGACTTTGCTGCAATTTGCAGTGTAGAAATGTTGTTTGGCTACCTGGATCTATATCAGAAGCAACTGTGACCTCTAATATATGCAACTTGTGCTCTCCAGGTTGTTATAAATTTTGAATTGTGTAACCATGTGTGGTCAATTAGGAGATTGTATAGACTGTTGATCCTTAGTACTCTATTTTTTTTTTTTTATTTAATTTTTCACCTTATAGAGGGCTACCTTTTCAGTTTTCACATTTGCATAGCGTATCGCTAATCACATATTGCATCCAGGTCCAGTGTTCTTAATACAGTTCAAGTTTCGGCAGTTGGAAATTCCTCCAAATTACAGTGTGGATCATTTAGGTACATTTTATGCCAAGATATTTTGCAATTTATTTTTTCTGTTTTAGGTGATGATCCTTCATCACATTAAGCTTAGGGAGATACAAACCTGAGGAGTTTTAAAGGGAGTAATGTTATGTATCTATTGGTACATAACAAGGGCATAATGGTAACTTAGTACAACAAAAAGGTGATGAGACCACATATTATCACTGTAATTTTTAGGTTTTAATTGTACCACTAGTCATTTTAGTACCATAACAACTAATTATTATACCATTACACTCCAATGGCATGATTTCACAACCTAGTGGTATATATATTAGCTTCATAAGTATACCATTGTAACAATCTTTAGGACAATTTTAACCATTTACACTACTATTGTACCAACAATGGTACATTTCACATCTCAGTGGTACCAAATGTTACTTTTTAAAATATTTACGAATTGTCATGTTATGTACCAAGAAATATATAACATTACTCCATTACTACTTCCTCATACAAACCCGTACTACTTTCAGGAGAAAAGTGGAAGAAACCATTTTTTTGGAGCAGAGGGATGATGGTGTGGGGAGGAGAACTAGTCTCTTATTTAGATTGCACAAAGAAGAGAGAAAGGAAGAGTTGCCTTTTCCTTATTGAAAGGATCTGATTTATTAAAAGGGAAGGGATATGGATCTCTAACACTGATCTCTACTATTCCTTGCCTTCCCATTGAACGTAGCTATGTTTCAAAAAAGTTTAACTTATGAATTTCCTCCTCGATTTTCCTCGTCCAAAAACACTGTAACTGGACTAACTGATATAATTTATGAATTTCCTCCTCAATTCTCCTCATCCAAAAACACTGTAACTGGACTAACTGATATATTGCATACAGTATATATTTATTATCATCAACAATAAACTAGACCTTTAAAAAGAATTTTTTGTGAACCACTGTGAATACTAATTCAGAATATCCTCTCAGGCTGTGTTGGTGGATGTGATGACACACTCAGGCAGTTAACAGAAATATGTGGAACTGGTCCTCGCAATCTTTCTGGGACATCTGGTATGTTGTGTCTCTTTATATTGCTATATTTAAGGTTTATTATTCTTCCTAGAATTAAGAATGCCTGTAGGTTCTTCTACAATACAATGCTCTACAGTTTAATGTTTGTGCTGTACTTGTTGTCTCCAAAGATATTCACGTATTGAAAACAACAACTTTTTCTTATAGAAATAAGGCTGTATACATCTGACGTAGTGACCCCTCCCTCACCTACCCTAATCCTGATTTGGGTGGGAACCTCTATTAGGGTAGTTGAGTTGGTGATGATTATTACTCACTTTTAGTTATTTCAATGGAAGATTACACAATGAATTGTGATAATAATTTTTCTTGAAAGGTTATTGGACATCCTTGCTTCATCCCCTTGAAATTCCCTATGTTTTGTTCCCTTGCTTGCTAGAATGTCTTAATGCACACATATATGGATTTAAATAATCTATGTAACTGTTTGTATGAAGAGGGGGGGGATGTTGAGAGGATTGGATGGGTGGGGAGGAATTATCTAGAAACTCTTGCTTCCTGCTTTCGCATATGATCTGTGGTTATCAGACTGTTTTCTTTCCATTTAGCTTCAGTGCGAGGACAAACTCCAACCACCACTTCTGCAAGAAATATGGCAAGTAATGTGCAGTGTGGTGTCTGCTCCCACTGTAGACAGACAGGGCATAGTTCGAATGATTGCCCTTCCCAGGTCTCAACATCTGGACGTGCTAGGTCTCGAGCAACAAATCACACTGATGGTATGGTGATTGTATTACTTTTTTATTCCCCTTCTTCAAGCTTTTAACGTACTGATCATGCTTTTCTATTGCCAGCCAAACTTGTATGGTCTGTAGTTAATGACTAGATATCCTTACGGCGTGTCTTATAATAATTGGTAGGCAGAGCATTCTCTTCTTCCTGGATGGCTAGTCCAATAAAAAAAATAAACCTTTTGGTCATTTTTACAAATTTATGGAATGATGATAGTTTTCTGGCTTTGTTTACATCAAGCTTTTTACAACTTCACTGTGAGACTATTTTATTAGCTTCTTTCTGGATGCATCAAGACATTGTAATTGCTTTCTTCAGGTGTCAAGTGTAATTTGGAATTTGATCTTTGTTGCTTCTATTTGTTTTTAATGCTTTTATATTTTCCATGTGGAATGATGACAGTTTTCATCATTGGTTCAAGTGTAAATTCGTACTGTGTACTATTCTCGTCACTATTTAATGAAAACAAAATAATAATCTCCTTTGTCAAAGAGGTTCAACCTGCGATTGCAAAATAATTAACCAAGAAGTTATTAGGGAATAATGAACAAAAACAATGATATTTGAATGTCAAATTTGAGTGATAGAAGTCTATTCTCACAAGATTCAAGGGTCTATTCCAAGTGGTGCTTTTGTATAATTTAGTGTCTTAAATGTTCTTAAAATCAACTTTTGCTAATGTGGATATTCATAAACTGTTTTCTGACTTTTAATGCTCTGCTGTTACAGAGAGTTCCTCAGTATCATGTAGTTCGTGTGGAGAACCCTGCGTATTGCGAACAGCAAATACTGCAAATAATAGGGGCAGAAAGTTTTATTCATGTCAATCTCAGGAGTGCAGATTTTTTGTGTATGTACCGAATCTCAAATTTGTGCTTAAGATATTCTGTTTTCCCAGTTTTTTGAATGGTGAGTTCCTGAACCTGCCTTGTCCCAAGGCCCAGTATCCCCACCAAGACCCTTTTTTCCCTTCCAAACATTATTAAGATGGTGTGGGCGTCTGGCTGTGTCAGTACTTCTTCATGTGTAAATAACAGCTGCCCGTTTTTATTACCTCATAGGCCTTAAGCAAGTCACCCACCAAGATTTGGTTAGTGGGTGTCTCATATGCAGTCCTATTCTTATGTAGACCCTTATTTCAGAATGTGATTGACTGATAAGCTTCAACTTTTATCCAAACCAGATATATGCAAACCACTAGGTGCAGCACACTTATAGATTTTATCTAAGGAAATAGTATAAAGAGGGAGCTTTTATTTTTTGTTAGGTTATTAGGTTTTTGCTCTTGTACAATATAGTTGTCAAAGCCTGCTATCCAGTTCTATGCATACACCTAAATGTTTTTCTGTTACCTGAAATCAGATGGGAAGATATGGTTGATGGTGGCGCTGGAGGACAGAATGCTTTGCATACCCATGGAAGAGGCTCAAATGCTACATCTGGTAGACGGGGTGGTCGAGGTAGGGGGCGCCGTGGTGGGGGTCGTGGAAGTGATACGACTTTCGTTTCAGCAACAGGTGAACCTGTATCCGGAAGAAGATGCTTTACTTGTGGTGATCCATCTCACTTTGCAAATGCTTGCCCAAACCGTGGCATATAGGTTGTGTTTTTCCAGATAATCACTGCAGTTAGATCATACATCCTGTAACTTATCCAGTATTCTGTGTATAATGTGTAATCCAAATTTACTGGCAAATCTATGATTCAAAATTATATCATGTACACTCTATGCTTATAATAGATTATGGTTGGAGGGTTAGCTCATAATCCTGTTGCATTGTTTCTAACTTGCGAGAGTCAAGAAAAAGTGAGGTAGATTGCATCTCAGATATCAGCAAGATCAACCTAACAGAAGAACTTGCAGACCAACTTATGTCCAAGCTCGTAGACATGTTCACGTTCTTATATAAGTCATTCTGTAAGGAAAGAGTGTTTTGACACCGTCATCTAAACATAGTAGGAACATTATTTTGGCACTCTTTATTAGTAGGGAAGTTCTTGAGAAGAAAGCCTAAATTTTTAAGACGTCAATATTATTTAGGGGGATACGGTACAAATTTAACAACCAATCTTGTACTACACAACATTGAAGTATCGAACAAACCTTTAGGCCCAATAGTCGAGATTGGGTCGAGCTAATTGTGTAGAGAATTATACTTCCCACAGTTTGAGGGGATTTACTCTTTTTTTTTTTTTTTAGATTTAATTTTTTTTTTCTTTTTTTGCAGAAAGGCCTATTAATAATTTTCACATGGAGACCTATTTTTAAACCTCTACTCGATAAACCCAACTTATTTAAAATTTAACTCGATAATAACTTGACTTGTTCCTATTCGTTATTAGATTAACTAGACTTGAATATAATGATTTGACCCGATTTTAACTCATTATGATTTGAACCGGAGCCTCTGACAACTGGGTATACCCGTTTTCAAACCGACCTAGTTTAACCAAAACTAATTATGACCTAAATCGATAACGACCAGACCCGATTTTACCCTATTTGTATTGAACCGAAACCCATTTTTAAACCGACCCATTTTAACTCAAACCGACTCTGACTTGAAAAATAATGACCTGATCTGTTTTGAATTGATACCCATTTTCAAACCAATTCAGTTCAATCCATTTTCAAACTGATTATGACCCAACCGATTACAACCCGACCCGATTAGCACTTAAATGATATTGAATCAAACCTGCTTTAAATTGGCAAAATCTGTTTTCAAACTGACCCAGTTCAACTCAATCTGATTATAACCCTAACCGATTACAACCAAACTTGAATAGAAATCGCAATAAAAAAAAAATAACCAAAACCAAATTGGCCTGATAATTTTCAAAACCGACCTAAAATGACCCGCTAATTGTTTCAACCCTATATAAACCGACATGTTAATCCGTTATAACTAGAAATTGAATAATTTACCCAAACTAACACCCCTAAATATCATATAATATGAGTACTAGTATAATAGTATAAAAAGGTCCTTTATTTAGTAGTGGTAATTGGTAATGTTTATATCATTAATAATAAAAACAAAAGCTATTGGTATTGGCCATGAAAATCAAGTCAAACATGTTATTCAAAATGTTTGTTTTATCATTTTTCTCTACTTTTTGTTTTACACAACTCACCAAACATAGTTTTACTCAAATCCATTATTTAATGACGATTTAGCATTTTTTACGAGTGAATTTAAAATATAAAAATTAACGGGTTTTTCACCATATACCCCTGAGTTTTTTGTTTATTCATTATATACCCCTGAAAATTTTTAAATTTACCATATACCCCTGAGTTGTTACAAATATTCACCATATACTCCTAATGATAACAAGATGAGTGGAATTTGGTTAATTATGCATCGACATCACCTTAGATCTCTTTCCCCATCCCAAAAAACTACTCCTCTCCTTTTTCCAAGCACCTAAACCACTCCAAATCTCTGTAACCATATCCGTTTGATTGATTTTGAGGATGAGAAAAGGAAATTTGGGGTGGTTTTGGGGGTGGGAAAAAGGAATGTGGGTGGTTTCGGGGGTAGGGGAATGCATTTAGGGTGGTTTCGGGTCATAATTAACCCTAATGACTGACGAAATTAATAATCATTAGTCATCAAGGGTATATGGTGTATTTTTGTAAAAACTCGGGAGTATATGATAAATTTAAAAAAGTTCAGAGGTATATGGTGAATAAACAAAAAACTCGGGGTATATGGTGAAAAAACCGTAAAATTAAATTTTAATCAAATAAAATAAATTTATTGATATAATTCATTAAAAAAATATATAAATACATTATTTTAATGACTTACAAAATAAATACAATTCAATAAGAACAACTTTGTTTAGTAATTCAATACTAAAAATGTGGTAACTCTAATATTTTTATATAAAGTATATACTGAATTTAAGTTTGTGTAATGCATCGGTATTATAGTTGAAATAAAAGTAGTTAATAAGATATGAAAAATTAAATAAAACAAATCATATTAAAAGTATTTATGTATTAACAAAATACGTTGTATTATTTATAAAATAACAAATTACGTGTAACTACGTAAATATTACATTGCACATAGTTAACACTTATAATTATTCGTATGGATAGATTACGCCAAATTTGCAAAACTATTATTATGTTAGGACATTGAAAGAAGAATTGGAGGAGATTATTAAGAGAAAAGAAGAGCAAATTATGGAATTTGGTTGTGTTGTGAAGAAATTACAATATTATGTCCAACCTAAAATGTTAAGTATTATAGAGAGGAATCAGTTTCTAAGTTCTAAGGTTGACAAGGAACTTTCCAAGGTTTCCAAGTTGGAAGCTGAAATTTCCAAAGTTAGAAAAATTAAAATCGAAATTTTAAAGATTTAAAAAATATATGTTGATATTTTAAAGATTCAACAACAACATTTCAACGACAATGCTGGAGTGGAATATGAGATTGGAGAATTGAAAACTGGGTTAAAAATTGGAGTCATTAGGGTTTAAGAGACCTGTGGAAGAAAGAGATTTTGGGTAATAAAAAACCGAAATTTTTGCTGAAATAAGGAGACTTGCTGAGCGGATTGTAGATGTGATGAACTCTCTCCTTTCTTTAACCGTTCAATTAAGTTTCGGTAACAAATCTCTTGGGATTTATTGTTCAATACCATTCTGCTTGTGGGAGTTAGGGGGTTAATCTGACTTTAACAACTGTGTTTCTGATTTTCCTTGTGTTTCCTTTGTGGATTAATTGGGGTATGGTGAGGTATGATTTTACCACCTTGGAGTATCTATGTAGACTTGTTAAATTGTCTTTTCGTAAAATGATGTAGTTGTCTTTGCAGAACTTTCAGTGACCTATCTACTCAAGAATGAGTTTCACACGGTGATCAGGAAAAAACATCGATGAAAGGATGGATGCATCGAACTAATCTAGAAATGTGTATGCTTTGAACTAATGTATATAGCTAGTTTATTTGTTAATTGAGTTACTTGGATACAAACGTGTCTTTTGTTATCGGAGTCTTAGTAGGTGGTAACTATATGGCAGGCCTTTGACTACTTAGAGTGGGTATTATTGGCAAGAGTTAGAAAAGCGTCTTGCAGGCTATTGGAAAGAATAGAATGAATGTGGTATTTAAACATAAACTTCCACCAACTCCTCAACCATTGTGTCTGATTAAGCTTTTGTATTGATCAAAATCCTTGATCTAATCTAATTTTTTTCCTTAAAGTGTGAGCCAAAGTAGTGTGCTAGTAAATAAAAATAGAGGAATTATGTATTTGAAAAAAAGTACAAGTAATATTTAAAATAAAAATAATATAAAAATGAATATGGAAGGAATTTCCTCGATATATCATCTTCGGTTGCCGGTGTACGTACCAGCATTTTGCACATATTGTACAAGGTGGTACTACCGATAGCAAGTGAGGTCATACAATTTTGCACACATCGCTAATAACTTTTCTTTTATTTTAATGTATTTTCTAATGAATACATGTTATATTAGATAATATGTTTAATCTAATATATTATAATTGCTTTTCTAAGAGTAAAATTTATGTTAGGAAAGTGGTAGATGTTGTAATATATAAGGGTATGTAACTTAACGTACTTTTAAGATAATATGCTCTTAATCTAATACATGTAATTGATGCCGAGGATTGGTTATGGATAATACCAAATCAATAGCGATTGAATGTAACTCGAGAAACAAATGTATCCGTTTTTTATACAGATGTTGATGAATGCAAAAAAATTTCTACAAATCACGCTTGATTATCCTCTGCCATTTCTTATATGTTGATTAAAATTCCAGCTTAATTACGTTGATGATTACAATTTTTTTTAATCGGTGACGTAATTTTGTAGAAATAATTTTTATTTGCTAATGCATTAGTTGAATTCGAATTTCTTCTACTACCTCCGTTTCACATTTTTTGTAACTTTGGAGTCAACATGGACTTTTAGGCAAAAAATGAGAAATGGAGATTAAGGAAAGGAAGGAGCATGTGATTAAGGAAGGAGAGAGAAATTGGGGATTCATCAACAATTAAACGTAAAACCCACCCCGTAGCCACCATACACCCACAAAAACCAGAAACCATCTACCCACCCCATTGCAACCTACCCAACAACCACCACACAACCACCCCGTAACACACCCACACAAACCCAGGCCAAACCATTTACACTAGCCAATCAAAAATCATCCCACACCCTCTAAAACCACCTACCCAGCGACCACCTCTAGCACCCGCAACCCTTATTGAAAAACCCACCGACCCACCTCGCCCTTAATTCAGTCGTAAATATCGGTTCCACCACCACCATATAGCATGAATTTTCCATCACCGTTGTCCACGTGTAGATCTCCATCACCTCGACGGTTTGTCCGAGAGAAGAGAAAACAGAAATAGTCAGATTGAAGGATAGAGAAAGAAATTGGGGAATTGAAGAAGAAGGAACTTCAAGAATTGGGTTTGAATACTGGAAAGATTTGATGATAGCTGGATGTTGGTTCGGTGAATTGATTTGGTTGGGTGGGGGAATGAATTAGATTCGGGGAAAATAATTAAAATAATTAAGTTATACTACCTCAGTTCACGAATATCTGCAACATTTGCCAAATTTGAATGCTTGGAGTTTCTGCAACAAATTTTTTTCTTTCCTTATTTTTTGGTAATATTTAACTATTAATTACCCACTATTACTCACTTTTTGGTTAGTGGTCCTCTCCACCACCTATTACCCACTACTTAAAACCCACTACAAATATTGGTGTTCACACTATAAATATCAAATATACCCTTATTTTTCAACACTTAAATGTTTAGTTTATATATATCATCATATGGGTAATTTTGTATTTTTACCTTTCTCTCTCATTAATTAAACCCACCAAAACTCAATTAACACTCCCCTAAAAGTTTTACCTAGGAGTCCACCCATTTGTACTTTGTTGCAGATATTCGTGGGCAGAGGTAGTATTAGTATTTTATTAAGTTTTGTTTTAAGTGACTAATTGAGTAATTGAGTTTATGAAAATTTTAGTAAGGGTGTTTTAGTAATTTCATTTTAATTTTTTTACTAATAATAGAAAATTTTGAAAAGTTGTAAAAAAAAGTGAAATGAAGGTAATATAAAATTATGAATAAAGTACGAGTAATAAATTTCTTATTTTGTATATGCATAGCGTGTGACTCTTTGCTTGTAATGATAAAATAAAAGAAAATTGAAAAAACAAAACACAATCCACACAAGCTTCACATGAATTGATTTGGAAACAGGAAATCTTACGACAATCAAATATGGAATATTATATAATAGTATTAAAAATTACCTTTATTTAGTAGTGGTAATTGGTACTCCGTAACGTTTGTCATGAAATAGAAAAAGAAAATAAAAGTAATTGGTGATTGGTTTATGTGATGTGACATGGCCATGAAAATCACGTAAAAACATGTATTGCAAAATGTTTGTCTGTTTAATCATGCTGTAAATGTAAACATGGTCTTTTTCATATGCAGTGGCGGACCCAGGATTTTCCGACTGGTGAGTCACAATCGATAATCAAATATGTAAAAAATTTTTTTTACCAAACAACTAAATAATAGTACTAAAAAATACATTCAAATATTCAAACAGTACAAAATACAACCAAATGTTCATATAATACTACAAAAGACAACTAAATAGTAATGCAAACTTATTAAAATAGTCCTCGACGAGTTTTCATGTTTTGATATCGATTCATGATATCTTCCATGCTAACATTCAAAAACAAATCATTCTCCAAATAAGTAATTAAACAATCATTCAACATTTGATCTCCCATGCTATTTCGTAGTTTGTCTTTCACTTGCTTCATGCCAGAAAATACTTTTTCCACACTTGCCGTTGCGACAGGAAGAAGCAACACCAACTTCAAAAGTAAATAGACCCTATCATGAGTTTCAGACAATCCCGTTTCAACCAATTTGATTGAAAGATCACTAAGACCCTTCAAATTCCAAAACCTTTCATCTCCTCTAACAGAACAAATGTAACTATCAAGTGTATGACCAAAGACTATCAATTCTGAACTTGGAAATTCATTAGGATAGAATTTTGCAAGCTTAATCAATTTTTCCTTATCAAACTTAGAAAAACGATCCACAGGACTCAAACAAGACATACACACAAGTAGTTCTTTAGTTATTTCGGGAAATCGATTTTCAAGTTCTTGCAATTGAAGATCAATGACACCAAAAAAAACTTCAACTCGAAAATGATGTAGATTAGACACTTGTGGGCATTTACCTCTAAACAACCTCCTCCCGGGAACAACATATTTAGCCTCCATATCTGGAACTGAAATGTCATAGTCACCAATAAAAGAAATTACCTTTTCCATATGAGAATGCCATCCTTCATCTCTCATTTTTTGCAAATTAGTCTTGGTTACATTAACCATGGCCATTGCATTCACAATGTCTTGATCGTGCTTTTGTAAGGCCACATTCAAAGCATTTGTTATCGCAAATATACTAACCATCAAGTGTGCCACGAACACAAAATCAAAGGACATCAGAAGATTTGTAAGTGTTTGAGCTCTATTAGAATCTATTGTATCAGATACTTTTGCAATATCCTCAAGAGAACCAAGGATTACAGGGAATAAATCAAGTACATTCAAGATTGTCTTGAAGTGAGATCCCCAACGAGTATCACAAGGTCTACCTAATCCACGTTCTTGATTTAAACCTGAACCCGTTTCAAGTTCACCTAGAGACAATGCATCCACCACTCTTTGAGCTTGATTTTCACGAAGAAACTCTTTCCTTTTTGGTGAACCCCCCACAAAATTCAAGAGAGGTGCAAGTACATCAACAAATAACCAAGCACAATCTGAATTCTTTTTAGCAAGTGCAACTTGAGTTAATTGAAGTTGGTGAGCAAAGCAGTGGACAAAATAAGCTTCTTTACACTCATTCTCTATAAGAGTCCTAAGGCCATTAATAGAACCTTGCATATTACTTTCCCCATCATAACCCTGACCATTTTTGCCAAAAATAGAAGTTTGAGGAAATGTAAAGTCTTTGGGCTGACAAGGCTTTCTTTGAATGTAAATTCTTCTCACTAAATCTCTATCATCTTTATGAAATTGACTCATTTTTATCCTCTTTCCTGGATCTTGTGGAAGATTAGCAAATTCATGTTCACTTAATCTTTCTCCAAAGATTGGGGCATTAGGAGAACATTGGCCTTGTTCATTTTGAGGGGAATTTTGAGTTGAATAATGAGATGGAGATGAAAGTTGCTCACTTTCTTGAGGTGGAGTTATAGTTTGTTCATTTTGTGTTGGATGTGGAAGAGAAGTTGGAGTAGGATTCTTTTTAGCAAAGAAGCTAGTAATGTTTTGCATTTCATTTTGAGTACGTTTTCTCTTCATTCTGAAATTTGAATAAATATTGAACTAAATCAAGCAATATTCCCCAGAAAAATTATTTGAATAAATATTCAACTAAATGGTCTAAATCAAGCAATTTCACATAATGACATAATCACATAAACATATTACACAAAACACAATTACACAAAACAGATTTCACATAAGTAATAACTAATAAGTTCAAGAGATTTCAATTACACAAAACACAATTACACAAAACACAATTACACAAAACAGATTTCACATAAGTAATAACTAATAAGTTCAAGAGATTTCAATTACACAAAACACAATTACACAAAACACAATTACACAAAACAGATTTCACAAAAAAAATCAATTGATGATTAGTTGATTACCTACCTTGCTAGGCGGAGGCGAGCAGCGGAGCAGGCGGAGCAGCACTGCAATAGGGCCACGGGCAGTCGGCCAGCACCGCAACACGGCAGTCGGCAACACTCAAGTCTCCAGTGGCGTAAGTTTTGGGAGTAAGTACCGGGCAACTTTCTTGGCTTTCTCAATGGCACAAACTTTGCTCCGATAGCCAAGGCAATAGGGGGACCAAAGATAAAACCTCTTGCTTCAATGCCTAGCAAAACAAAACTTCCAGTTGAGCAACACAAGACAAAAAAGTTAACTCTAAGGTTTGTGGATAGCTGTAATAACTGTTCTGAGAAAAGACCAATTTACAGTATATATGATAAAATATGATGTAAAAAGTGCAAACATGAATCAAGACTTTACTTAAAAACCTACATACTTAAGGTCACCATCCACAAACATATTACCAGTGATATTCTAGCTATCCTGAAGCTAAATTGGTTGGGGAATCTAGATAGTAAACATTAAACTCTCTTCCCCTTTATCTCTAAAATGAATAGCATGATTTATGGTACCATAGTTTAAAAACTAAATATATTGCACAAGAGCCGTATATGTAACCATGACTAAAAGATTTTAGGGTCCAAGGTTGAAACCATTCATCTCCTACAAAAATCTAGACATTAATACTTCAAGTAACTTTTATGTGCTTCATTTTCCTTGTACATGCTTAGAAAGAAATTAACAAAGGTTAAATTGCTTATACTATATCCCATATCAAGTATGCCATCAGCTAAAGCACGCTTCATGCCTAGTCAGGAATCCTAGTCACAGACCACACCACAGTAAAAATTGCCGCCAGTGGCAGCTTAAATTGGCTCGACTAAGAGAAATCTCGTACAAAAATGTGGATACCAGATAATAGCAAGATCTAATCAAGAAGGCTGATAATTTATGATCATTTGATAAGATGATACCCACTGAGTTCTGCAGTGACATCCTCAAAGCATAAAATACAAATATGAGCAAGTAGATTGTAGATAGAAACAGGCAACAGGGTTTCTCCTGATCACAGGAGCAGGAGTGTAATTAACAGATAAGCAAAGAAAGAGACAGAAATTAACAAATTAGACTGAATTAATTTGAAGATTAGAAATTAAAAATAAAAATTAGAAATCAACTTACTAGCACCGACGTTTCGAGTAGCGATTTCACGAAGAGGACGGAGTCCACGAGTCACGACCACCGAGTCACCGACGTCCGACTACCAGGCGATTAGGCGAAGAGAACGGTGGCTGCCTGGCTGCCTGGATGGGACGAAGCGAAGAGGCGAAGTCACGAAGAGAAGAATGGAGATGAGCGAAGAGGCGAAGTCACGCGAAGTCACGAAGAGAAGAATGGAGATGAGGCGATTAAGAATGGAGGCGATTAGGCGGAGAAGGCGAAGTCACGAAGAGAAGAATGGAGGCGATTAGGCGGAGAAGGCGAAGTCACGAAGAGCACGAAGAGGCTAGGGCTTGAAGTCTCCTCTAACTGATTTTTTTTTTTTTTTTTTTTTTTTTTTTTTTTAAAAAATAACTTAAAATTTTTTTTTGGGCCTGGTGAGTCACTTGACCCACCAGGTCTAAGCCCAAGTCCGCCACTGTTCATATGTTCAATTATTTGCTTATTACCGACCATTTCAATGGAACTATACTTCTTTTATGAAAGAGACAAGAACAAGTAATTGATTTTGCCAAACATATACGAGTATATATATATACACACACTATAAGGTGACAAATTGATCAAGTGAAACAAATAATACTCCGTAGCAATTAGCATGTAGCTATTACAATTTAAATTGTAATGTATTGACTTTTTGCTTATTACTAATGTATAAATTTATCTATTGTTAATTTCTCACTTGACTATTTTTTTCCTTATAATATAAATTCTTAAATAAAAAAAAGCCAAAATTAAATATGTGAATAATACTACGTACATATTCTGTGTAATGCAAACGTCTAAACAGATCAAATAATAAGAAAACAAAGAAAATAATAAAAAAATAAAAAAATAAAAAAGACATGGAATTGCATGGACAGAGAGACTTGAATTTTTATTTTATTTTTTTGACAAAAAGAGACTTGAATTGAAGGTAGGTCAAAAAACAAATAATATATTACGCCTTTATATCAATACTATATGCTTTGGTTGAACTACTACGACTTTTAATTTATTTAAAGTGTTACTAAATTACCAAATTTCGTGATACACAACAATCATAGTAATCTAGCACATACCTTCTTTATTAATACTATTATTTATAGAAAAAAAATAAAATAAAAGGATAAGATACTCGAATTAGCTGAAATATTTATAAATATTTATCTCCTAATATTATTACCATTCGCTTTCATGGCATGGTGTTATGGTATTGTGGTTAATGCCTTTTTTATCATTTGTATGATGGGAAGTTTTTGTTAGTATTATGGATCATTTATTTTTTTCTGATGAATTTAAGATAGGAAGTAGGCAGCCATGTAACGTAGTATGTAGATGACCTCGACGTGTGATGCATTGCATGTCAACTCATGTTCTAGGTTGGGTTGAGATTTTGCTTATACTAAATCAATACATTATTCATATATATACACTGATAGTAAAAAAAAAAAAATAAAAATAAAAATAAAAAAAAAGAACGATAACTTTTTTAGCGACAGGAAGTGAGTCCAATTCAATCCAGATGACTAAGGAATGATTTGATACTCAAAAGCGTAAATCTTAACATTGTATTTATGTTAATCAATAAAAAGTATAATGGGTGAAATATAAAAATTCATCGACCTAGACTAAACTATATATCCTTTTCGAGAAGTGTATAAAAGGGCATGACCTCTTGAGGACAATGGTACGTGGAACGATTGTAAAAAGAGCTGAAATTTCAATCCAATTCTCATCATTGAAAGATATTCTTCGTGCCTTCAGTTCCCTTATGAGTTGCTTGTTTCTTTATTCTATAATTGCTAATTCGAAATAACCATTTAAGATGATACATTACGAGTAGAGAAGTTGACAAAAGTATATTTTGTAGATAAAATACATTACGAGTAGTAGATATGTTAGGAAAAAGATGAGGATCAATTGAATTAGGTTATGTGTTTGAAAAATACAGAACATAGACAACAATATGTAAAACGTAAATTTGAGAAATAAAGTAGAAAATAGATTGAGATGAACACACAGATATACGTGGTTCGGTCAACACGATCTACGTCCACAGGACAAGGGATAGTATTTTCTTATTAGCTTTCATATAAGATAACAAAAGGAGATACAACACTCTCCATCTCACAAAATCTCTCAAAAGTGGAGTTACCTAATGGCTTGAATTGGCTAGGCTAATAATCAATATCTAACACTTTTAATTGTCCAGCCAACGACTCCTTATATAATATAAGAAAACCCTAAAGTAACCATAAATTATTCCCCAAGGAATATCATTAGTAGTCGTCATAAAAAAACCCGAAAATAGGAAGCAAAAACTTCTCGTTCAATTAGGCATGGGCGTGCTATGTAGGGCACGTCCGTGTCCCTTTCCCAGCTTCGACAGTCTTTCGTAAAACGGCCATAATTTTTTCGTTTCTTATTGGAATTGGGCATATGACCTATCGTTGGAAAGCTCTTGAAACAAGACATCATCTCCAACTTGAATCACCTCAAGATCACTTTTGGATTGAGAGATATATGCGTTTGAAGTCGACACTATCCCATTGCATTAGCTGGCAACGTCAATAAATATATAAAATAAGTAAAATACGAAGTAATAGTTTTAGTGTGAATTAAATTAATAGACTGATTTCTAAAAAAAAAAATAATAATAAAAAAATTATTAGGCTAATTAGCTTTTTTTTTTTTTTTTTTTCTTTCCAGAAATTAGTTGGTCTCGATATCACATTATCACCCTAATGTGAAAAGCTGTCTAGATTGTTTTCTCCTTTTATTGATTTTCCCCTCTTCCTTTAATATGAGAATTATTTTTTATTTTTTTATTTTTTTTTTGGGGTACTTGTCGAAGTTGTCACTAATGTAGATGTGTTGTGCGCTTGTGCCCTTAATTTTAGCACGGCTCGGAGTTATACTTTGTATTTATATGGTCCTGTTAACTTCAATTTTATTGTATTCTTACTACAAAGTATATGGAGTAAATTCTTACCGTCATTCTATGAGTCATATAGTGTATTTCTTATTTTGATCACAAACTTTTTTAAAAAATTCGGTGGTTCACTTGTAAGCATGTGGATTTTTGTAAGTGGATTTTTGTGGATAGATTGTTAAGGAAGAAATTTATTTTAGTCCTAAAAGTAAAAGAATTGAAAGGAATGATCCAAACCAACAAACAATGAAATCATCCATTTTTGATATATGGGACGAAGAGAGGCCGGATTAGCTATTACTCAAAAAAAGTCAAATTAAACCTAAGCTAACTGTGATTCAAACAATTACAATCTACAAAGTGCATCAATAGTACAATTGCACGATTATCGATCACTGACCTATAGATAGCAAAGTGGATGTGATATACATAATCGCATATTCGCATGTAAGCAGTATAAGTGTAATATGGTATATATACATACATTCCAATTTCTAATTATCGCATTGACATAACAATTCAGTTTTTTCCAATTTATAAG